GATAGAATTTCACTCCCTCTTGACTGAAAATCCGCTTCTCAGCTGGTTGTTGGAAATTCAACAACACGACAGAAATTTGCATAATAAGGAGACAATTGTCGGAGCATTTAGTTTGCAAAACCGGATGGTTGTTGGAAAAAGTCCACTTTCAATCCCGAGTAAAGCTCAAAAAGGCTTAATAGCTTAGCAAACTTATCAGACGATCACCGGCTGCCCCTTGTAGATCAATATTTTGTAAGAGTTTACTTTACCCCGCCCCCTCCCCCCCCACAGCCAAAGGGTCTCAAAGTTGTCGGTATTTTCGCTTATTTTGTCGGGATTTTCGCAACGCCATTCGATAGAGCGTCGAAAAATATACTAAGAGTTTTAATTTGAGCCTAGAATAATGTACAATAAAAAAGTTATAGCCAAAAAGTTCCGGCTGGGGGGGGGGGGTAAAGTAAACCGTAGCCCAATATTTTTCGGTAGACGGCCATTTATCGTGTTTTTACGGTGAAATAAGAAAGCTGAAATCTGGAAGATATCTTTCAAATTTGTTCGATTTCCATGAAATTCAACCTACACCGGTCAATCCGACAAAGACTCCGACAATTCCAGACGATACTTGTATATCGAAGACTTACACTTCTATGCTGGCCTGCCATTTCCGGTGAATTGTGCTTCGATCCCGATTCCAATTTTTCGCACGTCACAAAACAAAACTGTCTGTTATCTTCTGCCTTCAAAGGAAAAGCTTATAATGAGCCGATAAATCGACATTACCCTTCTCTTTCCCTCCCCATGCCCATGCTCCATAAATATTTGCCGAAATCGATTTGGCGCTTGATTTTTATGGGTTTAAGCTTGTTATATTCAGCCGGAAAGTTCTATGAAGTGTATTTTGGAACCAACAGCTTCATTGGCCTGTATAAAAGGTATGGAAAATACGGTTTTCAGACTAACAATGCGATGGCATTTAGTCCGCCAAACAAGGAACGAAAGGTTTTGCCTACAGCGCTGCTCGTCGGAGCAGTTTTGATGATTGTCGCGGAGATTGTTTTATTTATGATGACAATATTTCTTACAATGCTATCATTGCGCAATCGGAATCGATTATCTTCGCTGGCATATCCGTTATACGTCGTAGGTTTTAAAGATAAAACTAGCATGAGGGAGAGCTTACCTTTTATCCTTTTAGTAAGTTAGAAAAATTTCGACTAGCTTAAAAAAATATCATCTATCTGCAGGTAATGGAAATCCACGGTCGATATGATGAGATCGTCGGAGCCATCTTCTTCAAAGAATACAACCGTTTATGGTTCTTGATGTGTATGCTAGTTTTGTCTGTCGCCATCCCCTTTGCCTTCAAGCCCATCTACGATGAATCTTTTAAGATTCGGCTGCCGTTTTTTGTGGTACAAAATATTAGTGGACTGTCACCAAGGCCAACATAGACTTCGTCCACTTTTTAAATTTTGTTTTAATTGATGATCTCTGTAAATAAATTTTAATAAAGCAATACGTGTGTATCCAATGTCGCCTTGAAATAACCCATTGTTGTTATCCACGCCTCTCTAAGTGGACACTTCAACCCCGGCAGTAATACACCGATACCTTCTACCCGGTCTTCTGCCTTTTAATGTTCTATCAATACCTCCCAAAATCCATTTCGAAGCCTATTTTCATCCTTCTAAGCTTCCTATATCCTGCTATATATATATATATATATATATATATATATATATATATATATACTCTCTCTCTCTCTCTCTCTCTCTGGCTAACTAACTCTCTCTCTCTCTCTCTCTCTCTCTCTCTCTGGCTCACTCTCTCTCTCTCTTTCTCTCTCTTCAACGTACATCAATGTATAAATAAATTGGCACAATCCCACAGCTTGCAAAATCCCAAGCAAAGAAGTCGGCCACAAAACAAACCATGTCCTAAAAATCCTCTAAAAATGCTATACATTCAATAACATACCGCAATTACGGTACAAAGGCAAATCCTAGCAAATGGTGTCTTGAAATCCCGCGGCTTCCGAAAGAACTGCCTTAATATCACAAACACCACTCCAAACGTAGGCAATATCAACATCGCCATAATGTAATTTTTCACAAGCGTTTTGTAATTGATCATCATCGGAAAATCCTGTTCCGCCATTTTCTGGGTACTGTAAAGAGTGGGGTCGTGGGGGGAATCTGTCAAAATTTCGAAAATCAGAATCTCGAAAATCAAAATCTCAAATTTTCAGAATCTCGAATTCTTTAGTATCGATATTTCCATGGTCTAAATCAGCATTAAAGGCTCCGGAAATTGCACGTCTATGCCCTGAATCCAGCATCGGCATATTTCGAGGTTCTGAAAATTCGTGATTTTGAAAATCGAGATAAAATTCGAGATTATGAAAATTCGAGATTTTGATTTTCGAGATTCTGTTAGGCATTCGGGTCTTGGAAATAATTGCGGCAGTAGAATTACTACGAATTTTGACACGTATATCTGGCTTCCTATTTAGACCCTGCTGGGTGGAGCCCCTAATTTACCATCCGATCCCACTTAACAAAACCCGTGATTTTTTTGACGGCCATGGCCCTGTACAGATGGTAATTTCTACAAAACAAGTGAAAAACTTCAGATTGGGCTAATCTTCAGAAATAGATGGTAGAAAATTACATACTAGGCGAAGTCCAAAAAGCCGCAGTTTTCAGAAACGATATTGCGGTTAATTTGGGGTTTTCTGGTAGTATTAGAAACGCGCAAGCCAGCAAAGACCCTAGGGAATTAGCCTGGTGTGCTAGAAATGGTACTTGATCTTTATAACTTAGGCATTAACGCAAAGATACGATATTCGCTACAACTGTATCGATCTGATACTGACGGCCGTTGGATTTTGTCGGTTGGAGTTTCCGAATATTCTGTCACGCAGAATTAAGCGTAGTTCGGCGGAATGCCAGATCCAGATCCATACCGTAGTCAGGGAGAGCAAATTGGAGCTTAGCGGGGTTAGGAACTAAGTTACGAATAACTCTTTTACGCTCTATATCTCGCTCGCTCTCTTTCTCTCTCTCGCCCGTTCTCTCTCTCTCTCGCTCTCGCTCTCGCTCTCTAGCTCGCGTCCTCTCTCCCTCGCTCTCTCTCTCTCAGAGGCAAAACTGACATGCGTAAAGTCCTTGTACGGATTTTCTTGCTCTAACACAAGATTCATCACCTAGAGGTGACTAGACAATGACGTTTCCATGCCATGCAAGCGTACTCTATAATTACCTGCGCAAAGATAAAGGCCAGCACGAACGTAAATGAGTAGAGGCTTACAAAGCAGAGCCGCCTTTCTGCCTAAGAACTTGAAATTGAGGGTTCCGTTGCCGCCCACCTTCGACTATAGCTTGCGGTTCTCGAAGCCACTGAGGTTTTTCATGAGCACCAGCTTTATGAGAACGAGAAGGTTGAAAAGTAAGCTGCTCGCGGCGAGAATAACGAGGGGCAGAAGGGTCCACTGGCCAACCTTTAGGTTTAGATCAAATGAGGGGAGTTGGAAAGAGAGAGAGAGACCGTCACATCCTGGTGGTAGCAAATTTTGGGGGACGATAATTAACGACCGCTACAAAAAAATTGGACTTCTAAAACGTGCTTAGCCTTAGGGCACATTTTCGGTAGGGCTCCTTTCGACGATTTGTCTCTAAGGTGCTCAGAAATAGCCCTACCGTAAAGGCCATTCTCGGTAGGGTTGCGCTTCACATCTTCGGAGGGCTTCCGCCTCTCTTTCAAATTTCCAAATTTCCAGACTCTTGCGGCTAACTAGCTGATCCGATAAAGAAAAAAATTCTGAACACGAGGGCCAGGTTTGTTTTTAAAAAATCGATGCCATAGGGCTGTTAGCGCTATGGCATCGATTTTGTAAAGGGTTCTTGTTAGCTGTTAACGCCAGAGGTGAAAATTATCGCTTGATGACGTGAAGAATAAATTTTTTTTCGGTGGGAGAAAGGAAATTTTTATGGGGTTTTTGGATGTTTGTCTTTTGTTTATTAAATTAATTTCCTTTTTATCTCGTGGTGATACTCAAGAGACCTTACGAAGCTTTTATTACAACACGAAACTTGTACAAAGATCGCTTTCACTCATGACCCTTCTTAGCGGCCCAATCCCCACACGTTTTCCGGGATCCAGCCTAAACAATACATACGTTGGATGCAATTCTTAAAATACCCAGAATATCTCCAACGGTCCCGGTGAACCTAGGGACGCAAGAGGCTTGGAGGGGACAGGGCGGGGCGAAGTATTGCACCTAAAAATATGCAAAAGTTGAAAAGATCCTAGTTTGAAAGTTGTAATATCGGCAGGGATTACGTCACTATAAAGAATTCGTGATAAAATTTTTTTTGCTTTACTGGCTTAATGATCTTGTCAAAATTACTGTAAAAGATAAATAGATTCCGATTTTTTGTTGCTGATGAACGAGATTTGTGGCTTATGTATTTTTTCAGTTTCAGTTCGCTCACCCTCTTCTCTTCACACTTGTTCACTCTTCACTCTTCACACTTCACACACTACCGCGCATTTCAGTGTGTCACACGTCACCGCTGTAAAAAGATTTTTTCAGTGGCGATTATTTAGGGAAACCTGGCGGGACAGATTGACAGCGGGGACCGGTGGTGGTTTGGACACAGTAGGTCCCGGGGGTGCACAGGACATTGGCGCAGGTCAGAGGAGCACGTGTCGTGGTGGTGGCCATGTCTGAAAATTTTCTGATACCTATTTCCTAATCGTCATATCTCTTTCTCATCCCTCTAACTCTCTTGCTCTCGCTCTTACTCGCTCTCCGCCGCTCTCACCCCCTCTCTGTCTCTCACACTGTTTCTCGCTCGCCGTCGTTCTCTCTCGCTCTTCCCTCTCACCGACGACTTCCTCTCCCCCCCCCTTCACTCTCTCTCTCTCTCTATCTCGCTCTCTTTCTCTCTTTCTCTCTTTCATCTTCTCTCTCTCTCTCTCTCTCTCTCTCTCTCTCCTCCCTGGCTAACGATTCAGTTGAACCTACAGCACTGATTCCACTGGACACATAGTCCGCTCGGGCTACGGTAATATCCCGGATTACACTGGCACTTTGCCGGAGCACAGGCACGATTGCAGACCTGAAATTTGCAAGTTGAGGTAGCAAGAGCTTGATCTAGATGCTGAGCGCTAGAAGGCGGGAGCAAGGAGCTAACGGAACGACAGATGCGCCCAGGCCTGCGCCAAAAATGGATGGGAGCTAGCCAGCACTTGAGGCGCAAAAGCTGGAGCTTGACTTTTAGAAGCTGCCAGGAGCTGGGAACTCGAAGCAGGTTTCGCCAGGCTAGAGGCAAGCAGAATCGGAATCGGGAGAATTTTAACATAAGGGGTTAGGGAGCATTACCTGGGAGCTAGCGCGAGCGAGCTAGGCTCTGGAAGCTGGGAAATCAATACGTGCAGCCATGTCCAAGCCAGAAGCGAGAATTTTGCCCCCCTCCCCCAATTACCTCTTTAAGACGAAATTAAGTATTTTATACCGGATTTGGATTTGTGCATGTCGGCTCACAGTAGCTGCTGCATGTCTGCCAGGTCGAGAATCCCGGGCAAGTCGGGGCTGAAAATTGGGGATTCATGGATTTCCGCACAATTCTTCGCTCACGGCAATCCCGCTCGAGGATACAGTTGCCGGCCGTGTTACGGGAGTATCCGGCATTGCACATGCACTTTCCGGGGCCGCAGATAGCCGGACAAATCTTAGGAAAAAAAACACAGCATTTTTCCAATTGTGGCGGATTTACCGGATTCCGCTGGGCACAAGTACGTTCACAGCTTGAGCCACAGGAGTTGTAGGACGAGTTTGTCGGGCAGACGGGAGCTGTGGGTACGCTCGTTTAGTCATGTTATAAGGTTTTAGCATACGACATTGGGAAAGCGGGACGCAGCCGCCAACGACATTACGGTAGTATCCACTGTTGCACTGGCAACGTTGGGCTGCACATTCCGGGGTGCAGATCGGAAATTCGAGGTGGGAAGGGTTTGCTTTGTTTTAAAGGGATTGTGAAGGTACAAATTGTGGATCTACAACTTTTTGCAGATGCGTCTCATATCGATAGATATCGTTTTCCTGGATTTTGTAACTGGCTTTAAGTTGATTGCAGCATCGAAAAATTGCCAAATTTTGCCTGCATAATGCCCTTAAAACTACGATAATAACTGAAACTTGGGCTAAAGGCTCTATCAAAGACGTACCGGTCGCTGGTTGGCGCAAGTTGGCTCGCAGTTTGAAGCACAGGTTTTCCAGGCGGAGTTGGTAATGCAACGAGGTGTCGTGGTGATCGGACGAAATGTCGGAAACGGAAACGGAAATGGCCCCAGAGCCGGAACTAAAAAAAAATCAAAATCCTAGCATCTTCTGTCTTATCTCTTCTTCAATCACGTATTATTGAGAAAACCGCTACCACCTACCCATGGGAGACGCTTCAGCTTTCGCCGCAACGCCGTCCGCACGAACGGAAACGAGAAGAGCCAAACACTTTACAAAAGTTAGGGATCGTCCATTGAGGAAATGCTTACCAAAATCCACATTGTTGGCTCAGCCAGTGAATTTTGCTTCAATACTACCAGGGCCGTAACAAACCCAAATTTCGGGGGCGACCTCAAAAATTTTTTACTAATATGACTAAAACTACAGCGCCGCAGGCAAAATTTTTCAAAACATGGGGTTTATAACACTAAAACTAGTGTTAAAAATAGCCAAAAACAGCGCCGCAGGCAAAAAAATTTTTGGAAAAATGAAATCATAAGGGTCCCCCCTTATGAACTTTTCGGCCTAAAGTTTTAAGTTTTCGGCTTAACTTTTCGGCCGAAGGCCGAAAAGTTCATAAGGGGGACCCTTATGATTTCATTTTTCCAAAAATTCCCAATTTTTTCCAAAAATCTCAAAAAAGAAAAAACGTTCAGGGAAGCTTTTTTGGAAAAAGGCAAAGATTTTTGCCGCGGCCGGGGGTCGAACCCGGGCCCCCCGCTCGGGAGGCGCGGATGCGTACCAGTCAGCCACAGCTACAACCTGGTGAGGGGATGAAGGGGGCGGCCCATGGCGCAAATGAAGTGAATTGCCTCCGCACCCACGGGCAGGTAGTGCGCGCGGTCCCTACGTCCAGGGGTGTACACGTTGGGACGAGTACACGGCCCTCCTGAACGTGCGCTTAGAGTCGGGCCTCGAAACTGACATCCAAACACGCACACAGACCAATATACGCCAAAAATTATATCAGGTAGGATTTAGGGATAACCGGTAAAACCTACGCTCTCCTGATCATTGATCACCAACCCCCGCCCATAGACAGTCCAGACAGTCGCGTGGCCGGCAACCATGCTACCAGCCCAAAACAGCGACAGGTAGCCCTTGGCCGCCGCGTGGAAGAGGCGATGGGCTTGCGACGCTGTGGACAGTTTTGAGCACACCGACGTAGAGCATGGCACAGATCGTATGCACCAGAAACGTTCCATAGAAACTCTAAACGTGAAGAGGGTTGGGGGTAGGAGGCCTCTTTGTCTACCAACGCAACGTGGATTGCAAATCGGTTCACGGGGAGGAAACCGAGGAGTTTCACCGCTGAATAAGGCATGAAGATGATAGGCTTGGTGGCGGCCGCTGTAGTCTCGGTAAGGGCGGAAGCGATCTGGTTGTAAACGGTCGTGCCATTGTAAACGATTTGCATACTTTTTCCGAAACGCATTTTTTCCAAAATAGGTTTCCCGAAGGGCAGAATTTCGAAATTTGCTCCTAGCCATAAATTGGAAATGAGTTGGGAATGCTGGGGTCCCATGGCCATGGCCTAGCTCCGGGTCCAATCCGCAAAACAAACGCTCTGGGCGGGGGTCGAACCCGCATCCTACGGCTTTCGAGTCCGATGCTCTACCTAGTGGGCTACTGGGGCACGCGGAATGCCCCTCTCGGGGCACTTTCGGGAAAATGCCGGGTGGGCCGGGTGGGCCGAGGGCCGGGTGGATTACCACCTGCCGAACGGAACCCACATCGGCTTGTTTCGATTTGCCAGACGGTGAATCCCACCATTTCTCATTGACGCTCAGGCGATATTTCGGCTGCTATGTTTTATCCGTCATACGAGGAGCAACGATTGATTACCGGATTTTATTATATATTTTGGGGCATCGGTTTGCTAACCTTTATCCCCACCGTCTACTTTCTGCTCTACGGCAAAGCGCATCTGACAAAGGAGTACAAGATTGTGCAGTTGAATTTGGTGGTGCGTCAGTTGTTCAAAAAGATGCCGACGGCATAAGTTAATCGGTTACGCGAGGTAAATGGGGGTGGCTCTGCGCCTCTCACCTGGGCGCCCTCTCTCTCACCCGCCTGGCTTTTTGCCAATTCGTTGACGGCCCCCTCTCAAAGGCGGGATCGACACATCTGGTCTCACGCCCTTTAAAACGCTTTACCATTTTTTCGAACAGTCATTTTTCCGAAAGTGCCCCGAGAGGGGCATTCCGCGTGCCCCAGTAGCCCACTAGGTAGAGCATCGGACTCGAAAGCCGTAGAATGCGGGTTCGACCCCCGCCCAGAGCGTTTGTTTTGCGGATTGGACCCGGAGCTAGGCCATGGTCCAATTTATGGCTAGGAGCAAATTTCGAAATTCTGCCCTTCGGGAAACCTATTTTGGAAAAAATGCGTTTCGGAAAAAGTATGCAAATCGTTTACAATGGCACGACCGTTTACAACCAGATCGCTTCCGCCCTTACCGAGACTACAGCGGCCGCCACCAAGCCTATCATCTTCATGCCTTATTTAGCGGTGAAACTCCTCGGTTTCCTCCCCGTGAACCGATTTGCAATCCACGTTGCGTTGGTAGACAAAGAGGCCTCCTACCCCCAACCCTCTTCACGTTTAGAGTTTCTATGGAACGTTTCTGGTGCATACGATCTGTGCCATGCTCTACGTCGGTGTGCTCAAAACTGTGCAAGCGTCGCAAGCCCATCGCCTCTTCCACGCGGCGGCCAAGGGCTACCTGTCGCTGTTTTGGGCTGGTAGCATGGTTGCCGGCCACGCGACTGTCTGGACTGTCTATGGGCGGGGGTTGGTGATCAATGATCAGGAGAGCGTAGGTTTTACCGGTTATCCCTAAAATCCTACCTGATATAATTTTGGCGTGTATATTGGTCTGTGTGCGTGTTTGGATGTCAGTTTCGAGGCCCGACTTAAAGCGCACGTTCAGGGAGGGGCCGTGTACTCGTCCCAACGTGTACACCCTATGGACGTAGGGACCGCGCGCACTACCTGCCCGTGGAGTGGGAGGCAAATTCCTTCATTTGCGCCATGGGGCGCCCCTCATCCCCTCACCAGGTTGTAGCTGTGGCTGACTGGTACGCATCCGCGCCTCCCGAGCGGGGGGCCCGGGTTCGACGCCCCGTCGGCGGCAAAAATCTTTGCTTTTTTCCAAAAAAGCTTCCCTGAACGTGCCCTTTGAGGACCTTTCCGTTTCCAAAATGGCCTAATTCTCCGTCACCGGGGGAATCGACCCTCTTTTTCGATGGCGTCTTCAGAATTCCGATAAAATACAAAGTTACAAAGTTAAATCAGACTTTATCCAATTTTGGGGGTGCGGCATTTGCATAATATGAAAAATACAATTTTCTTCATTCTTGCCAGTTGCACTCACGAGTTTCGTCGTCTCTTTGGGCCTGATTCTCTTTTTCCTTTCTGTCTCCTCCCCGGCGCACTACACACGAAGCATAAAAGGAGTGTTTCGCGCGTGCTCCCAAGCCTTTGATGGTGTAGTGGTTAGCGCCCCGGCCTGCCAATCTAACGATCGGAGGTTCGTCCGCGGCAATCGTAGTGGCTTTGCTTTTTGCCCGGAAAATATTTCTCGGAGTGGAATTCAGTGTAGGGAGGCGTTATTATGACGGTCGTAGCTTAAACCTGCGCCGCAGGCTATAGAAAAAAAACTAGCCGCATAAGTTAGCGCCGCAGGCTAAAGGATACACTGTATCCGATACAGCCAGTCTCGCAATTTAGCGCCCCAGGCTTAAAGCTGAAGTTAGCCGGTCAAAATTGCGCCGCGGGCTTAAGAATATTACAAGCAAATCAAGCTTCGCCACATGTCCGATAACGAGACTAGCAGTTCAAGCTAGCGCCGCAGGCTGATGCCGCATAATGCTGATTTTCAATCCAATTTCAGATCTGCTTACTCGAGCAAATACTCTGCGGTATCGATGGGGTGTTTTTTTTTCGTAATCTGTACGACTACGTTATTTGGTTTCGACTTGGGCTCCTAGTGGTCGGCGGGACTTCAGTTTTATATATGACCGTGTGCTACTTGAACATCAAAGTCTTTTTCACGATCAACTCTAACGCGACGCTGAGCAAGCGTACACGCCATATGCACCGCCATTTCTGTGTGATATTCATGGTGCAGGTGAAATTTACAATTGTCTCCTCAACCGGGAATTAAGTCATTCATCGCTTATTCTTTTCTAGCCATACCATTTTTACTGGCGATATTCGTGTATGCAAGGTTGCTCGATCTGACATTTCTATATTGCCGTGAGTCCGGAATTCCGGTATGAAATGATTCCTCATTTTTAGCGACCGGCCTTACTATCATCTGGACTGGCCTGCACGCTATCGGCAACAATTTGGCGGTTTTGTTTGCCACAAAACCGTACAGGACTGCTATATTTCATGCGCTACTAGGAGGTTATCAGGTGGGCAGGTTATTCGTTTATTTATAGCTTTTTCTTCAGAAGCTGAACCCTTGGGCTCGGAACACCCTTGTGCCCGTACAACCTATGAAATGGCAAGCGGCGCTTCATGTTATTAATAAATGGCAGACTTCATATCCGAGAAACGGCGAAGCGAAGAAATCGAGTGGCGAACAATAAGTTATTCGATAAAAGTGCCCTTTGCTTGTAAGCAACCTTGTTAGTTAGCTTGAAGGAAAAGCACCTGACCCCCGAAGACTTGAACCCAATTGGTTCAAACTTCTCCGTGCGCCCGTTTCCTGCTTCATGATCTTAAAAAGTGCGACAGGTGAAAGCCGATGCAGCGCTGCAAATGTTTTGCAACTATTAATAGAACTCGACTGGATAATTGTTGACTACTTTCGTTTTACAAGGAGTCGCTCTTAGATGCTTTGGAATTTCGGGACGGGACCTTGCTAGTTCGATGGAGAAAAATTCTGAACAAGATGTTGTTTTCAAAAAGTGCTGATCGATAACTGTGTTTTAGAAAATTTTTAAAGTTTCGTGGTTTTCGCAAGTTTTCGAGTCCATTTCCTCGGTTCACGTCGTTTTCGGGGGCGCGGCCAGGCGCCATTCATAGCCTTCCGTCAAGGCGTCGAGCGGAGGTTGCTGTAGCACAGGGAAGTACGAGGGGGGCAACAGGGCAAGCCTCCCTCTCCCCCAAATCGGCCGAAGGTCGAAAAGTTCATAACCGAACATTTCCACACAGAACCTTCGTACACCTCCGAACATTTTGCAATAGAACCAGGGTTGAAAACCCGCTACGCGACTTTTCAACCCTGGCCCCGTTTAGCCCCATAATATGCTTCACTCTGCATACGTCTCTC